GCTGCTGCCCGGCGCTGGGCTCAGAGGGAGCGTCCGAGTGAGTCCGTGCCGGGCCCTTTGAGAGGAGCTGCTGGGGCTCCCGCAGCCTCTGAGACCCTCAGGGACAGTGCCCGCTGGTTTCACAGCCCGGAGTTGTGGGGACGTCTCTTCCCAGCCTGGAGCCCTGGGCTGGGGGCCTGCTGTGGGGCTGGGACCCCTCCCTCCTCCGGGAAACCCCCACCGCCGAGATTCCCTCCTGGGTTTCAACCTCGGCATCGGGTGTGGGCCCGCGGCCGCATCTCTGCGATCCAGCCCGGATCTGCCCGTGTCTGCGCCCCTCCTCCCGGTCTCGGTGCTTCTTCAGGTCCCTGGTTGTGGGGCTTCTGTGCAGCCAGGTCTCAGGAGGCTCTGAGTGATGGTGGTTCTGTATCTTAGTTGTAATTTTGATGTGGTTGCGGGAGGCGGTGGGCGAAGCTGCTACCTACGCCGCCATCTTGTTTCTCCGAGACTTCTTTTTATTAATAAATCCAGTGGCAAGTAATAATAATGGATTGTCACATAGCCCAAACACCAATTTACTATGGTCTCATTTTAGTATGTATTTCATTAAAATAGGCAGAATCAAAAATACATGGAAATTTTAAAAAATTTATATGATGGGCAGGCTTACCCCAGCCTGCCTGGACCAGATCGCTGGTGAGGGGATGTGTGGAGGGTTACTAGAAATCCTTGCTCGTCTAACTTTCCCCTGTGATTCTATAGATAAGCCTGGTTTTAGACCTATTGCTGGGTCATTTGGCAAACCAGATGACACTGAAGGTTGACAGTAATTAAGCAGCAGTCACGGCAGGGGAAAAGCTACAAGGTTTGAGGATGTTTAGGCTGTATTCATTTTATTGTTTTTTAAATAGATAGAAACATTGACTAGCTACCTCCTATATGCCCCCTACTGGGGATTGTGACTGCAACCCCAGGCATGCTCCCTCACCAGGAATCAAACGGGTGACCTCTTGGTGCATGAGACAATGCTCAACCAACTGAGCCACACCGGCCAGGGCTAGGCTGTATCCTGTTTCAACAGTGCTTAGCAGGACGATCCAAGTCAGATGTCCTTTTAGAATTTGGACTGATAGTGTGTCTTCTTGTCTCTCTTATTTTCCACCCCCAGAAGTTTCACCTATATCCCTTCTGATTAACATTTTAGAAAAATGTTTATTTAGAAAAATAAAAAAACATTTTTCTTGACAAATAATTCAAACAATTAAAGCTAAAAATAAATATATTTAAATCTCTCCCAGCCAAACAGTGAAGATTAATGCAGAAGTTAACTATAAATAAGAAATTGTTTTAGGCCATTCTTTCAGATTATAAATCTTAAATGTATATTTAAGAAATTTAACCCATAATTAATTAAAGAGTATATTATCATAAACCAGTATATTCTACTTATAGTGGAAAAATACTCTAAGCCTAGGAAAATTTCTTGTCTATTATATTTGCTTAATTTCTCCAAAGAGTATTCACCTCACAACTGTGAAATAAAACATACTAAGCAGTTTAAAAGAATAACCCAGTTACATAAATCCAGATTATTATTTGGAACAAAAATTATATAAAAGTTTTGAGTGGAACAAATTTCTAAAGCACATATTCGTTCTGGTCCTGTATTTAAAATACATGTGATTGCCTGGCCAGTGACCAGCAGTTGAGCATCGATCGACCTATGATCCAGGAGATGGAGGTTTGATTCCTGGTCAGGGCACATACCTGGGTTTCAGGCTTGATCCCCAGCAGGGGGCATGCAGGAGGCAGCTGGTCAATGACTCTCATCATTGATGTTTCTACCTCTCCCCTTCTCCCTTCCTCCCTCTCTGAAATCAGTAAAAATATATTTTAAATAGATAAATAAATAAAACACACGATCAAGCTCCTACCAAAAAAAGATACACCGAAGAACTTAAAATTCCACAGAATAACATTCAGGTTGAAGCCTTTTCCTCACCATGACTTCCTACCTTTACTCAAAATGCAGCTTTCTTTTCAGTATTCAGGATTTGGGGTTTTCTTTTGCTTTGGTGATAAGCGTGTTAGTTTTGATCTCAGTTAGCCTGTCCTTTACTCAAGGCTCATTAGGACCAGCCAAGACCAGACCCTACAAACTCCCCACTCAGCAGTATCCACGTTCCCCTGCAAACACAACAGGCGTTTCCTAAGATCGATGGTTTGAGGGCTGGAGGACTTTAGAGATCTGTCCAGAAAAGATTTAATTCAGAGATCCTCTCTGTAACCTTCCTGCCAGCAGCTGGGCCCTGCTTGCTGCACTCCCCAAGTCAGGGTCCTCATGGACCCTGGATGCAGCCCTCCCCTTGCCAGAGAGTGTCAGTGGTTCAAGAATTTTTATTTGTGTCCAGACCAGCTGTGTGAAGATGAACAAATCACAGCATCTCTAAGTCTGAGTTTTTCTATTAAACCTCAGAAACTTCTGAGAGGAGTGATGATTTTAAAGATTATGCAAATCACAGAATTCTTCCTAATTACTTACATGGCAGTAACTGGAATAAAGTGTTTGCCTGTAACATCTTTGGAACTGAAGGATCTTATCTAAGGGTGAGGTCTGTGTTGAAAAGGCAGAGGCAGTAATTTTTTAACAGCAAACAACAGAGAATTTTCAACGCTACTGAGCAGTGGCTCTGCGGCCTATTCCCTAAGGCACACACCATTGCCACTTACTCCTTAATCCTTTGCTGACCAGTGTCTGCCACTGGGAGCCAGCTTGGCACTTGCTGAGCTGTCACCAAGTGCCCACTGTTCTCCCAAAACCACCATAGCAAGTCAGTTTTCCCTCCTCATCTACTACTTCCCTGCAGTATTTGTCACTGTTGCCCACTTCCATCTCTCTTTTTTTTTTTAATATATCTTTATCAATTTCAGAGAGAAGAAGGGAGGAGAGAGAAACATAAATGATGAGAGAGTCATCATTGATTGGCTGCCTCCTGCACGGCCCTGACTGGGGACTGAACCTGCAACCCAGGCAATCCAACCTCAATCTCCCAGATCCTAGGTCAATGCTCAACCGCTGAGCCATGCCCAGCCGGGCCCACTTCCATCTTTTAAAAACCCTCTTTTCTTAGCCCCAGTGACAACACATCTCTGAATCTCATTTGCCATTTTCTGACCCTCTTTTGTATTATTCTGTGATTCCTTCTCCATGCCCACTGTTAAAAATGGCCATTCTTTGACTCTCTTATCTTTGGCAGGAAGCTTAAACCCGAGCCCTCCTAATTCACTGTGTGAACTTAGGCCAACCCACAACCCTCTGTGGGCCTCATTTGTCCCTGAGAAAGGGAAGGTGGACAGTGATGCAAACTGTCCCTTCGAGCTCTGCAGTGCTATGCTAGTCTATCCTAATCTCATTCTTGTATTCTATCAGCATGTGGTACAGCTTCAGAGAGCCAGTGTAAATCTGTGATGGAGCTAAGACCACCAGGAAATCATCACTTCCAGAGTGGGAAGGAACTTTAAACATCATAATCTGAAACTCTCATTTTATGATTGAGGAAACCTAGGTCCACAGTGGCTACTCTATTACCTCACAGCAGATGATGGAGAAAAAGAAGTCTCCTGGGCTCTCACATGTTACAAAATCAGAGCTCACGTCTTCCAAACCTGGTAGAAATGCATAATAGTATCAGAGTAAAATGCGATATAGAAGGTATAAATTGAGCCTTTTTTCCCCTTTAAAAAAAATAAACTCAATACTGTAACTCCAAGAACTCTGGAGAGATATTTGCTATAAAGCAGGTGCTTTAAACAAAGTAGAACAATCTGATCACATAAAACATCTTAGATTTATGTTTTTAAATAGTGAAATAAAACAGAACATTAAGTTACACAATACATATACTTACATTAATTCAAATGTCCAAAGCACAATACAGTAAGATCGATGTAATAGTTAATATAATTTAAGGTTTACATACACACAAGCATATAAACAAATATTAGTCTACTAAAACAAAGGTGTAAGAAGTTACTCAGACATCTTGGTATTGACACCTACATATTTATGGCAACAAATAATGATGACTAAACTTTCAATAAGATCTTTTGTACAAGGATAGGAAATTTACAGAATGGAAAGAAGACAAACAAATGTACCTTTATTGCACTATTTATCTAACATCGTATGGGATGTAGCAGTACCCGGTAAATTTTATCAGTGAAGTCTGTTTACTCTGGTCTGAAATGATGAATTTGGCTAAATTATTCCCAAATCTAACTTTTTTGTGCTGTATACATAATGCTTATTTGGTTCTTCTAAATGAAATGGGAAGCTAGCACTTCTCTTTAAAATAACTTAACTTTGGTCCTAAGTTAGTCAAGTCTCTTTTTAAAGAACAATAACACAGTTTATTTTTTCTTTCAAGAATTCTGAATAAAAGGACAATGTCAGTCAAATCACCTCCAGGTCAGCTTTGAAATGATCAGTAGTGGTAAGACTAAGATATTGTTATCTAGAACCTAAACACTGGAAAACAACCCCATCTTTCTCTGGCACATCAAGGAACCAAAGTGCTTTACCACGTTTCCTGTCAACCATGTAAAAGACCATTTGGTTGTATTTCAAAACCCAAAAATCATTTTTAGTCCTGCCGTTTATTCTGCAGACCATACACAAAGTTAAAGATGGACAGATTAAGTGACTACATCGTACAAATACAGGCACAAAATTAAGTGGATGCCACAAAGGGTGTGTCTGAAAACACTGAATTGACTGAATCTGAGTCGGATTTCACCCTCGTGGACTTTAAGATGCCCTCAGCTATAACCGGTTCACTGGGAAAGAACCTGATTTTCCCATTCTGCCCTGCTGCAGTATCTTTCAGGGGTTCCAAGAACACCACTCTTTTACCGGCACCTGCCTTCCGTTCATCAGCTGGGACGTCACTAGCCAGGCCAGGACTGAGAATAGATGAATGGGCACTGCTTTGGTTTTGGGTACTCTTTTGTCTTTTGGCTCTACACCTGCAGGGACACGGCGTCAGATAGAGGTACAAAAGTACCAAAACGATACTGGCCACACAGGCTGCAAGAGTGGTAAAAGCTGTGTTAAATGCCTCATGGGCATGGGATCTGTTTACAGTGAAATTGCTCACGTTTATTGTGACATCCACAGTTTCATTTAACAGGCGTTGCCTGTTCATTGCAATACAAGAATACACTCCAGCATCCTCAAAACGAGGACTTTCTATCACCAGCGTTCCATTGTGAAACACACGAAAGTTTCCCTCCTTTTCGTCTGGTTCTAGCAGTCTGTTATCTGGACCCACCCAAAGGAAATCAGTATTTGAACTACCAGTCTTGCTGTCACAGTGAATAATCAGCCTTTCCCCAACTTGAGCCTCATGAATAAAGCCAAGTGCACGGAAGGAGCCATTGATGATACTGTCAGAGCAATTCATAAAGCTATCCTGGAGCAGAAGTACCTGCTGGGAGTGCTTAGAGTCAGACCACAGGAGACAGGTATAATCATTCTTAAAATCCATCACTGAGCTAAAGTGCCTACGGTACCAAAAGATCAGCAAGGAATAAAGGGAACAGTCACAGACGAACGGGTTTCCATGAAGATGGATGCCTCTCAGCTGCTTTCCGGGCACTAAATTTATATGGTGTGTTGGCAGGAAGGGGATCCGGTTATAAGAAACATCTAGAAACATCAGTTCTGCCAGCTTGAACCTTCCAACATACAAATCCATGGGAAACTGTGTGAGAAAGTTTCCACTTAAGTAGAGTTTCTGCAACTGGAAGAGTCCTCCAAACGCTGAAGGATCGAGATAGGAAATGTGATTGTTGTAAAGCAGGAGCACTTCCAGAACCTTCAACTCTTGGAACACTGCACTTTTCACAGTCTTCAGCTTATTGGAGGATAAGTCAAGACACTTCAAATTTGGAGTTGTGGAAAAACTGCCCATGGAAATGCTGGTGATGTTGTTATGACGAATAATTAGGGTGTTCAGCTTTCCAAATGATACTGGAATCCACTCAGAATCCAGAAGGCCAATTCTGTTATAACTCAGATCCAGTCTCTTAATCAGTCTATAAAGGTTCCCAGGCACCTTAGACAGGTTTTTGTTGGTGCAGCTCACGATGTCAGTGGCACAGATGCAAGCAGTGGGGCATACCCCAGAGGTGCCAGGGCTCACAGTCACAGTGATCACCAACAAACACAGTAGCTCCCTGCAGCCAGGTCTGACAGCTCCAGGCAGGGTGGGCAGTGTGTGTAAACGCAAAGACATTATGATCGCCTGTCAGTCTCTTCTAGGCTCTTCACCACCAGCTCGGCCTCCCACCAGGGAATCTAATAAACAATATATAAAGATGGGTAAAAAAAAAAAAAAAAAAAAAAAAAAAAAAAAATAAAAAAAAAAA